TTACTATTATTATTATAGTCCAATCAAAGAGAAATAGATTACAGAGTCACGAATACGAACGTAATCAGCCAGCTGCTCTACGTGTTCTCTCTCCCTCTCTCTATCTGGCTCTCTCTCTCACACACACACACACACACACACACACACACACACACACACACACACACACACACACTCACACACATACACAAACACACATACACACACACACACGCACATACACTCACGCACACACAAACACTCTCACACGTTCAATCTGTATCACTCACACTCTCTCTCTCTCACTGCTTCTCAATATGCATCCTTCTTCCATACTGTGTTTATTGGTGTGTGTGTGTGTGTGTGTGTGTGTGTGTGTGTGTGTGTGTGTGTGTGTGTTTGCTTGTGTGTGCGTTTTTTCGTCGTATAAATTCGTTTTCAGTGTTTTCATGCAGATCTGTCAGTCTGTAAACTTATGAAATCTAATACAAAGGGATATAGAAGAGCTCACCTCTGCCGAAAGCAGCTTAACTACTTTAGCTGAAGTATGATTAATTGAGGACGGTTTACGCCCTCATTGACATGATGAGGTCGGCCGTTTTGACCTTGTCTAAGCCATCCGAGCATAATCTTCTACATATTAACAGATAGACGGAGGTGCTCGATAAAAGATCTTCCCAAAGCTGGCTTCGAACTCGTGTCCCTTGAGTGGCGGCCGAAGCTTACTCTTATCGATTTTGGACCTCCAAGGGATCTTTAACGTGCGCAACTGACACACGGGACTTGTTCGCCCTTGACCGAGAGGGCTAGGTGTAGATCTTTCCTACCATAAGATCAGACGTGTGGCTGAGAGACAGCAGTAAGAAGGAGCCAAGGAGCAGCAGTAGAAAGGCTGCAGAAAGAGTCAGTGGCCCAGAGGAGGGGGCAAAGGAGATGAGGGGGTGGGGGGCAGAAATTGGAGACGAAAGCAGTCGACAGAACGTTGCTAGAGAGCAGGAAAGGGGGTGAAAGGAGACAATTTTAGAGAAGAAAAATGTCCGTCCCTGTCCGCATTCGAACCCGGAGCCTATTGAATGAGAGGCAAACACCTTAACCTCAATGCCACGAGTGCCCTCGGGGGGGAGGGGGATTTTATTGTTATTATTATAGTACCTCGGTGGCTGAATATCGCCCCCTCCTAGGACCTACTCATTTGTCTTAGTTGTTTTTGCCAAGCACTTAAAAGTCGTCTTTGTCTATGATTTTATTTTCTCTTAACTCGAACTGCTACAATGTTGATGCGCCTCTCATTTTCATCCCCCCCCCCCCTTTCCCCCTTTCCTCTACCAAAAAAAAAACAAATCAAAACGTTCTTTTAAGAAATCCCCAATTTTTGAAATCTGATCAATCTCAATACTCATACATTAGACACAGTTCTCTGCGACAAGCCTTAATCCAGGTTATCAAAATCGAGGAAATCTGGACTATACTTTTTTCAGTTTAAATGGAAGGTGTGAAAAGGTGTCAAAACAGTATCGCTATAAGAGAGTTAATCTTTGAACCACATTTTCTGAAAAGTATGCGTCATTGTGTGAGAAGCATGTTTGTAAGGCTATGATAGTCCGTGAATTTTGTTTTTGAGCTTTCGTAAAGGTGTCTTCATGAAAACATAACATTATTATCACTGGGTTTTTTTTAAAAACTGTCATCGTTATGACTTAACATCTTTTTCAAACCCCCACTCTCCAGTTACCTTCTTCTCGATTTGTTGTGCTGCCTTTTACACTTCTTTTCACATTTACATAGACTGAACCTGCGAATTTAGATTTAGAGTCAATCCCTTATACAACCATGCCACTTTTACATGACGGCGGTGGCCTAGTGGTTAAGCTATCGGACTCGTAATCGTGAGGTTTCGGGGTCGGGGGTTCGAACCCCGGGCCCGACGTTGTGTCCTTGGGAAAGGCACTTTACACGAATTTTGCTCACTTCACCCACGTGGAAATGGGTACCCGGCCATAGACAGCGAAAGATCCTGTCAGTATGCTAGTGTTTTAGCCCCTATTTAATGGCTGCTTGCACTGTATGCTTCCCAGGAAGTTGAGTTTGTTTCAGAATGCTCTCACGTCTGCTGAGGTAATAGTATAGATTGTGAAGCGCATAAAGCTTGCTGTTGAGCGGGGATTTGCGCTATACAAATGCTATCTATTATTTAGTATTATTAAATATCCGCAAACAAGTTCAAATTATGGAACGCCCCGTTTGGGGACTTGAACCAGGGCTGTCTGCACCATAGCCTCGCAATGTACCGAAGGAAATAAAGGTTCGCTTTCTACTTGACCTCCTCGACCGAAAACTAAATTATGCATGCTTGCCATCATCATCACTGTCTTTCTCACCTTGCATCAAGGGTTTCTGTTGTCTTTTTAAAAATACAGTACGTTCAGTATTTATAATTTGACAGGAGAGCTACTTCACTTTACTTTACTTATCCGATCCAGCGGCCATCTGGGTCCCAGCCCTTCGGTCTCTCACAGGAAGGCTAAAATAATGAATGTTGTTAGCAATAAAACAATACGTGCTTTAAAGATAACGAGGAAGTTATCACTAAAATTTTAGTATAAAAATATTTGAGTTCCGGTGTTTGCAAAGAGTTTGTTTCAGTTTTTTGGCTGTCCTGTAAAATTGTAAACTGCATAATATACTGTTTGTTTGTTTTTTAATTACGACAGTATAGGCCACAAACAAACATTTCCCACCTTTCTCTATCCTGGTAAAGTTCATACTTGTACTCACACTTAATTCCTTGCAGATCCACCATGAGCTCAGCCAGCACGCATGCGCACTCCACCACAACCAGAGCACAGATGGCGATGAGGAACGGACGACAGTTGATGCACTTCAGCGTACGTTGACGACATCTGAGGATGATTAAAGGGAAACATAACCTATCCATCTTCCTCTATCTGTCTGGCTATTTATTTATCTATCCGTCAGTCTGTCTGACTGTCTGCCTGCCTATATGTCTTTCTATTCCTTTGTCTTTTGGTCTGTCTGTCTAACTGACTGATTGTATTTGTCTCTTCATCTGTCACCCCTCTCCTCTCTCCCCCTTCTCCCCCCCTCTCTCTCTCTCTCTCTCTCTCTCTCTCTCTCTCTCTCTCTCTCTCTCTCTCTCTCTCTGTCTCTCCTTGTGTGTCTCTCTTTCTCACTCTCTCTCTGTTTTTCTCTCACTCTCTCTCTTTCTATCTCTCTCTCTCTTCCCTACTCCCTCTCGCTCGCTCTTTGTCTGCTTCACACACACACACACACAAAAAAAAAACACACACACGCGCACACACACACTCACACACACATACATACATACATACATACATACATACATACATACATACATACATACATACAGACATACATATATACATACATACTCCCTCTCTCTCCTCCTTGGAGTTTTGTACCAGGAGTTTTAGATCCAAAGAGACAAAAGTTCGTAGGTAGGCTCTCTACTGCGAGGATTTATGGGCCTTGTCCCCCCGTTATAAGAGGCTAAAAGTGGCAGTACCCCCCACCTGTGTGTTTTCAAGCAGAGCATCCCATAATAATATTATGTTCCTATCAGTGCCTGGTTGACCCCCCCCCCCCCCCCCCAACCACCCACAGACATAACCACATCGGCTACTAGTGGGCGATATCGTCTAGGCTGGCAATCACTGGTTTAAGCCATTCAGAAGGGAGTGTGGCTGCAAATTCGATCCCGCCTATGAGTGCCAACAAAAACAGAGTTGGATACACTATCCAAATAGACAGACGAAGATGCAGGGGGAAATAAATAAACCTCCTGGAACCTGCTATTTTGAGTGCGAGGAGAAGAGCCAAGCCATTACACAACAGACGTCGGGCGGCTCTGTGATAACACGATAGTGCAGACCAGAATATATATATATATCAACGAAAGCGCAGGTGAACGAAGTATTATCGAAACAAGGGGAAAATGACGTGGGAAAGGGACAAAATAAGTAAATTTCGTTGGAGGCGTGAGAGATTCCCGCTACGCTTTTTGTCTCCAAGTGGACTTTGGAACGGAACATGTTAAGGTTGAAAAAACAAAACATCTTGATGTTCTTTCCGAGAGTGAAAATACTCATTATCAATTCCAAAAGCCTGAAATATGGCAACTGGGACGAGCTAGGTAAACACACAGAAGATCCGATTTCTCACTTGATAAAGTCCGAAGGGTTTTTTTTTTTTGCCTGGATCAAACAACATGTCAACAATGAAAGCAACCCCCCCCCCCCCCTTAAAAAAATCTCAAAGAAAACGTAAATCATTTTGTTTTTCTATAACAGATCTGCATAGTGCTTGTCTCTAATACTTTAAAGATAAAATATGACGTCATAACTAGTTGTTCTAGCTGGGTTTTACCACTTCTTGCGTGAAAAAAGGAAAAAAAAACTAAGCTTATTATGATACAGTGAAAATGTCAGTGAATTGCCGTCAGCGCTGTGTGTGTGTGTAACGTGAGATAGACAATCATTGATTCATAACAAAGGGGGTTTGGGATCAGAAAACATGAGCTCACAGTTGGATACATATTTCTTCTAATGGTTGGTTGCATAATATATAATCGACTATCTCCGTATCATTCCTTTGATACTGTGCCCCACTTTGCCCATGCTAGCAAAGACAACAAGTAAACACTTCTTACTAGATCCTCCACCCTACAGGTGAGGGATCTTTAGTTTTTTGTGGGGAAAAAGGGGGGGGGCAAAGAATGACACCTGCAGTGATAGTACGTGTTGTAAAAAGGCGACTATGCGCGTAGGTCTGTTCCTTCGAAAAGAGCCAGTTAGCAGAGAGCCATCTCCCAGACCTTGTAAAATCGTTATTTAAAAGTTACAGAATCACAAGCAGTCACGTCTAATTTTTTAATCTTGGGAGATTGAGGAGCTCTTTGTCTACGGTCTAATAATAATAATAATAATAATAATAATAATAATAATAATAATAATAATAATAATAATAATAATAATAATAGCTCTTCCGACAATGTCTACCGTTGACCCATACAACCGCAGAAAAGAATACTTCTAAAGCGAATTAAAAGAATTAAAGGCCAAGATGACTTGTGGCTTCTGCTGTACCCGACAACACCAATTTTGGCAAAGAAAAGTTTGTTACACTTTAATATAAAAAAAACTACCGTTTATAACGAACGAAAATGTCGCGACCGTCCCCTCGCCATCAGACAGACTAAAGCTGGCCCAAATCGGCAACACTCTAGAATTTCTTTTCCTCTCTAGGATTTCTTTTCCTTGCATCAGCTTCCCCAGAGACAATTCTCTGTACATAAAAACTCTTGTTTCATTTTTTAAATAGATTTGTTGCGGCTTCTATCAAAGGAAGGCGTTGCTCAAATCGGGAGATTTCGAAAAACGAAATTGCTGGTCGATAAAGGTTCTAAAATTCATGTTCCATTCTCTAATAAGATTCGGTGTCCGCGTGCATTCCTGTTCAATCAGTTGGAGTGATAGTGTATTCAGGTTTGTCTCTCAATCGCCCTTGTTTATGCTTCTATTCAATGCAGTATACGGCGTTGGTTTGTGATAACGCAATGTCAATGAGATTTTGGCTAACAAATGTTACAGTTTTCATTGTTTTGTTTTGTTTTGTTTTTGTTTTTGTTTGGGGGGGTTTTGGGGGGGGTTGCTTTTTTCATTCTTTATTTTTTTTAGATCGAGAGGAAAATAAAATTATGAGAAAAGGCACGATTTACAAAGAATAATAAATGAATGGAAAGAAACTATGAAACAGCAAGAATGAGAGTCAAAGTGTTATGTGTATTGCATTTCATTACATTGCATTGCATCGTGTTGTATTGCATCGTGTTGTATTGTATTGTATTGTATTGTATTGTATTGTATTGTATTGTATTGTATTGTATTGTATTGTATTGTGGTTAGGCTACCGGACTCGTAAACGTGAGAATGCGGGTTCGGGGGTTCGAGCCTCAGCTCGGGCCGACGTTGTGCCCTTGGAAAAGGAACTTTGCACGCATTTCCCTCTTGGCTCGGTCTTTTCGGAGATAGATGTTAAACTCGGAGGTCTCATCTCTTGAATAACCTAAAGGCGTTGCTAGGGTCGTTAAACCTATGCCATTTCACCATTTTAGTGTATTGTACAGTATTGAACTGTATAGTACTATATTGCATTTTACAGTGTTGTATACCATTGCATTGATATTGCATTATCCGCTCAGCAACAGTCCACAGGCTAGATTTTGGCACTTTTCAAATCAAAGTGGGCAGAAAAATGAATTTGCATATTTTATAGTAAGCGTGTTCGTTTCAACATAATTTTATATTAAGTTTCAGATTTTTTAAACCACCGATTGATTAATCCGTACGAATAACGAAATGTGCTTCGTTTCTAAAGTGCTCCAAAAACAGCACTTCTTCAATACATGACCTGAAAACGCGGCGTCAGTGAGTTAATGCTACACTGCTTTTTCACTTCAGCCTTTCAAACAAAATGAGCACCCGTCCAAAATACAATCTCTGCCTTTCTCTCTCTCTCTCTCTTTCTGTCTTTGTCTCTCTTTCTCTCTCTCTCTCTCTCTCTCTCTCTCTCTCTCTCTCTCTCTTTCTTTCTCTCTCTATCTATCTATCTATCTATCTATCTATCTATCTATCTATCTATCTATCTATCTCTCTCTGTCTGTCTCTGTCTCTGTCTGTCTGTCTGACTGTCTGTCCGTCCGTCCGTCTGTCTGTCTGTCTGTCTGTCTGTCTGTCTGTCTGTCTGTCTGTCTGTCTCTCTCTCTATCTCTCTCGTTCTCTCTCTCTCTCTCTCTCTCTCTCTCTCTCTCTCTCTCTCTCTCTCTCTCTCTCTCTTTCCATAATGCGTTGTTACAATCTCGTTAAAGCTCCGACAGGCGAGATCTAGTTAGATGATGGAGAAGATTAGGTAATGACATCAGACTCGGAAGTTAAAGGAACCAAACTATACTCAGGACTCATTCCGGGATTTTGGATAGGAAATCATGAATTCTATTTTAGGGCCACAAAATATGGCTGAAGTTAAGTTGATTTCTGAACTGATATCCATGGTAGTTGCCTGTGTGAAGACGTATATAAGGCAAGTTAAAAAAGGAGGGGGAACAGTGCAAAAAAATAGATAGATAGATAGATAGATAGATAGATAGATAGATAGATAGATAGATAGATAGATAGATAGATAGATAGATAGATAGATAGTCTGTTTTATTTTTGCTTTTTTAGATACTAGTGTTTTATGCCCGTATCGAGACAACTCAGATCATTTAGGAGGTGGGTTTCGACCCTGCCTGTCAGGGCCAACCCGAGCTGAGAGCCTTACAACGACCCAGCAGAAAGACCGAGATTATCGATTAAAATTTTCTCCACATGTGAATCTAACTCGCAAACTTTGTGTGCTACAGCAAAAGGGCCTAACCACTACACCACAGACGCCGCTCATAAATGGTATTTTGGTATTATGTCTAATATACTTAAATAAAGAACATCAGTTAGAGTATTATAGAGGCGAATTTGTTGAAACACCAATGCGTGTTTGTACCAGGTGGGGTTCAAGAAGTCTTTGGTCTAAGTATGAAGGAATTAAGGTAGAGCTTTGTAACTTTGCACACACATGTACTTCCATTTCTTTACATAGTCGCCATGAAGAGTAACTCATTTCTGTCATCTCTCTTTGACTTTCAAACGTCATTGAGAAAAATGACCCAGAATGGGCCCCAAACCAGTCTGCCACAGCTTCAATGGAGTCTTAGTCTTCGTTGTCATGGAAATGACGTCCTTTCGGTGATTTTTTAAGATTAGGAAACAGAAAAAGTTTGAAGGGGCTATGTCTGGTGAATAAGCTGGGTGTGGCAAGATTTCAAAGC